AAAATTATTTATTATTATTAGTAATTATAAAATAAAATGCATATAGTGTACACCAGAATACAGCCATGATTCTGAAACTGTAATCAATAAAGTAATGACAATATTGTAAAACCACTGTCATTCTGCAACTGTAATAGAATAATACCAATGCAGTTATGATTGTATTTGATGTAATGTAATAAACTGGAATGCATGCATGTAATACTTGCACAACTGATATTGACTAAGGGTCATTCGAAATCCGAGTTACATTGAACTCACCAGAAGACCACTCCCAGAGGTGTGGACACTGACTTTCACACCTTTACGCATTGGTATAAATACCTGTAGCAACGATTGTTCTCCAGTTCGCTGGTGGAGGCTACAGACGGGCACTAGGGATGGTCAAAAGGACTGACCTGGGGCCTGTTGGTTGATCTCTTTTATTAAATACATTTGATTTTAACCTTTTGATCTGCGATGACCTCTGTCCGTCCGGCGTATCTTCATTTCTGAACACAACATAGATCAATGTAAATAAAGTTCTATCTGTGAAAGCATGAAACATATTTTGCAGAAAATAGTTTATTCTAGCTGTAAACTTTGCACTGAACATCTTTTCAAGATAACAAAAACTGCAACCTGTGAAAAATAAAGCATAATAAAGATTAAGCGATAAAGAGTTTTACTCTGCATGTCTTTTCAAAACAGCAATAATGTGCAACCTGTACAAAACAAAATAACTGCAGATATGAATAAGACATCTCACACTTTACATGTAGGAGCGGTCGGTAAAATCAATGCGCATTTGCTCGTATTGTCACTTCAATATTCTTTATTGATTGTTCGGCAAAAACAACCTAAATCACACTCAAAATAAAAGGAGAATTCAATGCGTAATGTGGTCAAAAATAGTATCTCCTTCCGCTCTCGAAATAGAAAAAACACCTGGCCTTACTCAGGTGACATTTAAATAGCCGACGCCCCCTCACATCATCATTACATCATCACAAATCAATCAAATCAACAGAAAAGGCAGTTTCATTGTGCACGATACAAATGTAGTGGAATGGCTTCTACACTCTGGCCCCTAATTGACCGGTAGAGGACAATTCATACATTTAAACATATGAAGCACATTCTTTAGAGTCCTTTGTCTCGTGTCCATAGAATTAAGAAAAAAGGCCAAAAATATAATCCATTTAGTTTCGATAGTCCTTTTTGCAAAACGGGTTCACTTTGTATTAGTGGCGGCAATGAGCCTGCTTTTCACCACAAATCCATTCAGGGATGCAGACATGATACGGCCTCTCAATTCATGCTCCATGTTGAGCTTGGATCTGTATTTAGTTTTGAGAGACGGCGGCCGCAGTCTGTGTACTTTGTACCTTTGTAATATGCAAAGTTCTCAATATAGTTTTTGAAATTAAATAATTCAGAATCCCCCCTGAATTCCACTGGTATTGGTCGCGCCCCACAGTTTAAGAGACACTGCTTTAAAGTAAAATAACAGAGCGCTTGACTTCAAATAGCCAAATTATACGAAGGGTACTTTTTGGCAGCCGCCTCCACGTCGCTTAATTCTAATTAGTCACATGGGAACCGTGAAACTGACTAAACCCTCTTAAAGGGCGTGACCGGCAGTCTGAAGCACTTTCAGGAACAGCTTTTGCTCCTGAGAAACAGGAAAACATTACTTGCAAAAAAAAAAACCACACTTCTCGTCAATGGCTTGTTAGTTTTAATAGACTGTTCCTGCCGAGCAGACGCTGCCCCCCGGGCTGACCAGCAAAGGCAAATGCTCAAATGCAAGACTTTTATGATGTGTGTCTTTTTAGCATACGACAAAACAAGTGACACGTGGCGTGCGACGCTGTTGAGAAATGAAACTGAGTTGGACGGAATAAGAGGACGTCAATCACCCGGAAATTCTGTCTGCTCGGGGAAGTTGGGCATTGCGTGTGGAACTGAGGGCTCGGCTAGTTTCAGCCTGGAGCTGGTTCAAACCGGTCCATCGGTGGCAGAAGTCAGTCATGTGGATGAGCTGCCTCACCCCCGGGCTCCCAGGGAGAGCTGCTGAGAAGAATGGGGAAAACACAAAGACGCCCGAATCCCTTTTTGTTGAGCTTTGGCCACTAGGTCTCACATGAAAGAGAGGTGTGGAGGTTGGAGGACCACAAGGAAAATCCAGGAATTGGACCGGCAGTCACTCCATTTATTATCCACTCTGGCACTGGGCCGTTGACTATCAGCCCGTGTTTATCTGCAGGGTGGAATGCAGTTGAGGCGTTACGCCTCAGGTCTTAGTCAGGGCAGCAGCGTGTGCCATCAACAAATAACAGGCCCGTATGTCGGCCAGTGCCTTTATTTTCAAGCTGTCGCCACAACCCTGAGAGGTCAACATCTCTGGAAAATATAAAGAACACATCACACCATCTGTTTTCATTCATGTGTCATAAAACAGGAGTGATTGCACAGGAGATGAGAAACGGCCTCAAAACAACCCAGGATGAGCATTGGAAAAGCTTGGGGGGGGGGGAGTTTTCACTCAGATAGAACAAAGAAAATCAATAAAGATGGATCGCTGCATGCAGCATGTGTTGTTTACATATTTGCAACAACATATTTACTCAAACCAGCCGCCCGCGTACAACCAGGTTCACCCACTTCTGACTTTTTTTTATATCCAGCCCCTTTCTGTTTTTTTGCAATTTTGCAGTGGTTCTTAACCTGCAGGTTGGATTGAACCCCAGAGGTGCGCTGAGTCACTCTCAGGGGCTCGGCGGGGGGTAAGACACACACCCTATAGCCCCGTACACACTTGCAATGTCGGGACTTTTTTGGCAGCCATCAGAAAATTGGGTGCTGACAATTTAAAAAAAAGATTACAAATAGTTCGTTGCTGAGTAAAAATGAATTCAGCCCACTCGTACAGTTCCTGACGTCATGCTTTGGACGGATACTTTCCCAGCAGAGTCATATCCAGCGTGGGCGAGACAGTGGTTTACGTTTTAGTGTTGAGACAGCTGATGTCAACAATGAATACCTCGACGAAATCATTGAACTTCAGCAGAGCTTCAACGGCAACGCTTCACAAAAACAAATCGCGCCAAACCGCAAGAAAGCCCTTGAGATCCTCACACCGTTTGTTGCAACATATCCTTTTGAGGAATGCAGACATGAAAATAAGAAAAGGAACAGACTTTGTTGCGAAACTGATATGCGAGTGGCACAAGGTGAAGCCAAGCGTTTCTTGTTACTTGTATCTGAAAGGCAACGGCAAAAGTTACATTGATTTAAGAGTTGTGTTTTTGTGTGAAATTCATGTTTGGTTGGTTTTCGTTCTCTGGACACAGAGATTTGAATGCAAAGGGTTCAGTGAATGAAGCTTGCAGGCTTCAGTACCTCCAATAAGGTTAAGAACCACAGTACTATAATAACAATCTGGAATTTTGTGACATATCTGACATCCTAAATCCTGAAGATAGTGCTTGGTTCTCCCGTTAGTGCTGTGACAATAAATGCACTAGCCATGTAGTTATTAATGACCAATGGATGATCAATGATCCTCTGTGTATTTGAACCTCTTCCACAGTGGTGATGTGCTATGGATCTTTGCCCGCGGGGAAATTGGAAAACCAGCAGTGGGATCATGGAGGTCAGAGCGCAGCGGGGAACAGACTGTCCTTGGCAGAACTCCATCAGCACAATATTTGACAATGTCGTGTGCAGTCGATGGAGTGACGTTTTTACACAGACGCCGTGTCACGCAGGCCAGTTGTGTTTCCAACGCCGTCCAGCAGCAACATCAGTCCGTCTCTAAAGGTCATGTGGTCCACTTTTGAGTTGAAAAATGTGTTATCCAGTATGAAATTATTGATGAGGCTCAGTGCTTTGCAGTGGTGCGCCTGATGAGTGACGGCCCTCTGCAGGCAGTGCAGGCTCACCGATGGCTGGTTCTGAAATGAACAGAGCGCTCTCTGGTGGTCGTGTTGTAAAGCGCAAACAAGCGTCACTGCCATGCAGCCTGTAAGAACGTGTAAGAAAACAAACACATTCTAGAGTTCTTAAACTGGGCCCATAAATCAGCATACGAGCTGAAGCTGCACCAGGATATTAAAAAAAAAACACATTAAAAACATTCGTCTTGACGAGGGAGATGTACCGGACTATGTTTCCCGGTGGGCTGCACAGCAAAAGAGTGAAACAGTTTGGTCAAACCATGTAGTGATGTTTGTCAAGATTAAAGCTACAGAATTCTGAACCACAACTAATACGACCAGAGAAACGCCACCAGCCCGACGGCACCTCCATGTGGCTGAAAGAAATGTTGCATCTCATTTACGTGGCTTTAATGGTCAATAAGAATTCCTTTTGAGGGGCCATTGGAAAATGAACAAAACGTCAAAATAATCTGATGGCTCATGCTTCCTGTAGACACACAAACAGTCCTGCGAGGCCAACGCACATCTTCAGGCCCAACGGGGTCTGATTGTGGGATCTGCGCTATGCACGTTTGGCCAGCAGACGGCGCCAAATCCCCCCAACACGGTAACCACACCCAAAGAAATGAGGGTAACCCCAACACGTCGGAGGTCTCCCTGACGTCACAATGACAAGATGGTCATCAGCTGTGTCTCGACAGGAGTCCTGAAGAGGTCACAGTATATTACGTCCGAGCAGTCATTAAAAAGTGTGTGCATGTGGTGTGTTATAAAGTCATAGTCGTATGCTGGAAATATTTAAAAAGTCATATTGCCAAAAAATCATAATACAATTTGTTGCGAAAGAGTCAGAGTCATTACTATTATTATTGCATTGAAAAAATAATAAGAGAATCATTTTAAAATCATAGTAGTAACGTTGTATAGACATACAGTATCATGTTATAAAAAGTCAAGAAAAGTAGTAAAATATATGTATTTTTAATATATATAGTAAAAGTATAGAATAGTATAGAAGATAAAAACTCAAACCCAATATTATGTTGACTTTTATTTTTTAAAGTCATGAAATAGTAGTCTTAGTATAAATGTAAATTACATACACGACTGTATCTTTATTAATGTCATGAAATAAAAATATGTATAATTTATCTTTCAAATGTGGAAACAAACCGTTAAATCTGTCAATCCGTCGTCTCAGCACAAAAGGTTCCAGAAATAATCCCCCAAATCTATCAACTAGCATTTGTTGCTCTTTACACGTTGTGTTCATTAATAATAATTAAAGGATTCATACGTTTTGTTAACTGCTGTGGAGAACAAAGTGAATCTGCATGTCATCTAAATATATTATATACATATAAGATATATACCACGATTTTATATATAGGTACAGGTTAAAGAAAGAAATACATAACCTTTACACTTGTGATAATGGGTTTTTATCTTAAATATTATAACACAGTTCCAAAAATGTAAAAATAAAAAAGTTTTGGATTTATACTAATATTTTTTTCTATTCAAAAATTTCAGATAGGAGATGGCAAATTAACATCCACTTGAAGATGGCAAATTACTCCTTGTTATATAAACATTCAAATATAATGCAATTAGAAAAATGAGTATGATTGCAAGACATAAAGGCCTCCAGAAGTACTTCAATGACAGACATTAACCTCTCATTCTTCAGTTACGATCACGTTAGAATGCTCAAATACACAATTAAACGTCTCCCGACGCTGGTTTATTATCTATCAATTAGGCTGGACTCCATGAGCCATTGAAAATAGAATAATTCAAACGTAATATTTCAACTATATCGGTCAAAGCTGACAGAAAATGGGTGCCTCTTCATTTTATTATTAATATCATGTTAATACAGCGAGATATTTGTGTACTATTGTACAAATTGTGACTACAGCACAACCAATTTGCAATATTATCAACTGATATTAGCTGAACACAAAAGAAAATCAGTAAGAACAAAAAAGTAATGTTTGTTGTCATTAGTTTTCCATCTCACATCAATAACTACATTTTGTTAACTGTAAAAAATCAATGCAATGAATAATACCCAGGATGTTTTTCTAGATGAAGAACCATCAGTTATTGTCTCGTGCAGATTCACAATCTTTCTTTTCCTTTTCTGCTCTACGATGTTAAATGGTTAAATCTCCTGGAGGTGCTCAGTTGGAATTTGTTCACATTGTTTGAATAATTATTGAACCATTCTACTTGTTAGCTGTTGTTGTTATTATTATGGTCTAAAATCCCCTTTTCCTTTTGGGTGTGCAAATGCTAAACTGCACTTTATTACAATCCCACACCACAGCTCCACCTCAGAAGCTGCTGTCCTTCAAAGGCGAGTACTCGTTCTCCCTCTGGCTCTCCCCGGCCGTGAAGCTCTCCTCCGTGGTCCTCCTCGCCTCTCTGGAAAGCTTCTCGAACCTCCTCAGGAACACGATGAGCACCGCCAGTAGAGCCGCCTGCACCAGCACGAACACAAACAGGCACACCTGCGAGGCCAGAGCCAGGTCACAGTACCAGTACTGGCAGGACTCCAGGACCTCCTTCTCCGTTAGATACGCCACCAGCCGCCCTCTCAGGCCGGGGGGGGAGCTGCAGTTGACGCCCAGGTGGGACTGGAGGCCGGCGGGCTGACGCAGCAGCCAGGACCGCAGGTAGAGGACGCCGCAGTCGCACTCCCAGGGGTTCCCCTGAAGGGAGACGGAGCGGAGGGAGGTCAGATGGTCCAGGAGCCCGTTGGGCAGGGTGGTCAGCCGGTTGTCGTGGAGACGGAGGGAGGTGGTTGCAGGAGGAAAACCGGTGGGGAGCGAGGAGGAGGTGAGAGACCTGCCGCTGCAATTCACCTCACTGCCGCGGCAGGAGCAAAGGTGGGGGCATTGGAATGACCTTTGACCTCTGAACAAGGGCAACAGGCACAGGAACAGAAGCCTCCTCATGGTTGCTGATGGCTGCAGAGAAAAGGAGAGTGTTTTGCTCAGGATACATCTCCTTCCAAACAATGTGGAGCTACTTGAACTTTTGTGTTCAGTATTTCTCAAGCTGTGGGGCGCGACCCTCTAGAGGGTCGCATGGACAATTTTGTTGGGGCGTGAACATCTTTCTTCCTCCAAAGTTCGTGATAGAAAGAGTTTGAGAACCAGTGCTTTAGTGGTTGTTTCTGCTACTTGTTTCTGCTACTTTATACTTCTGTTACAATTCAGAGGCTATTGTACTTTTTACTATTCTATATTTAATAGTTGCTTTGCAAACTCCATAGCGCATAAAGTATTTCTCCACTGCTTTTCGTGCCTCTTTTTTCTTTTCTTTCTTTTCCATTTCAAAGTGTAGGATCAGTAAAACTACATTGTTGAATGTCCTTTCTGGCTCTTGAATGTTTTAACTAATGTGATCTTTTACCTGTTACTGGAGGGAATATAAGTTTAACATCGCAAAAAAGAACACCCGCCACGCTAACATTAAAGGTTGAAGGTTAACAAACAAAAGGCTTCTATTTCAAACTGCTCACATGAAGAAGCTTCCCTGTAACGACTCAACATACAAATCACATGAGGACAGCGACTGGCCCTCTTTGGGGGGAATCGATACAATCGTATGTATATAACGCTCATCAATCAACTTCACATCCAGCGTTTGTAACCGTGGTCCTCAGAGGCCGAGCTCGTTGACCGTAGTTCAACCAAACTCTTTTTCCCTTTCATCAGATAATTCTGCCAAACTAAACGTGACAGCTTTCTGTGGTAAGCTGAGGTAAGAGCAACACGTTGAGTGAGGGTCAGAAAACCTGCTTTAATGTTAAAGATTTTCACAAGGTCTGAAGAGAGTCACTTACCTTCAGTGCTGCGTGTCCTTAAGAGAGAACTGTGTCCCCACAGAGAGCGTGTGTGTGTGTGTGTTCCTACCAGCTGCCACCCACTGATAAAGAGCACTGACTAACAGTGTACAGTGCAACACACACACACGCATCCAACAGGACACATGTCTATAAGCTGCTTTCACTGCTAAACACTCACCACTGCAGGAAAGAACCGTCGGAAACTAGAGATAAATACAGTTTTTAATGAGTAACAGTTATTATCTTAATTCAACTACTGGTGTCTTTTAGTCGGATCGCAGCAGCCACACAAGGGAACACGGCTCAACATGTGGAAGGAATAGTGTGACGATAAAGGACACGTCTGTTTGGACGGGCAGGAGGAGCTGATGCGTGCGGAGGAAGTTTGGCAGCAGGAGATAAAGTCAGCAGATGATGTCCTTCCTGCAGCGGCTCACACTGTGACAGCCGGAAGAGACCGGACCTGGAAATAACTTCACGTAACCAAGCAGGGTGACGGGAAAACAAGAGTTTTATTTGTCACACTTTTATAAACGGGGCGCAGGCCTGAGCTCACAGCCTTCAGCAGAAAATAAGTACGGTTCCTCATCATCAACACACCACACGCACGCACACGCTCAACACTCACACACACACCTTTACTAGCACAATGCAGAGACTCCCTTCCAATGAGAGGGGTTTAAAACGGAAGCAGAGACACAGTATTTGCTGCTCATCGTTGATCTCTGTTTACCGTACGGGAGAAACAAACAGAGGCCGCGATGCATCGTGATGCATTTGAAGAGCCCATCAGCTGTAAAGCAGTAAAAAATAGGCCCACTGCATGTAGCGCATGTGATTAACAAGAGCACGCTCGGCATTTACCCTCCCGGTATGTCAGGCTCTCCTTTCACAGTTAGCCACAGGTAATAATTGCATTTGCAGCTCGGCGAGCACACGGATATAAAAAACTAAATGGGCGAGAATATTTTGACTTCACGTGAAATGATTTGTGAGGGTCAGAGAGCGAATTAATGAGAGCAAAAGTTGGCTTAAAAAACACAGGAAGAGTAAAGTCACTGTTTGATGGACGGATTACCTGGAGGAAACACACACACACACACACACACACACACACACACATGATAAGAATCAATATCCATCAAGTCTTAACATCACCAACTACCTAAAGCTCTTTACAAAACATCGCACAACATCATGCCCTGACAAAATATCCCCAAAAAGTTGAGCATTGCGTTTATAAATTAGATACACTTAATAGTAGTTTAAATTAGGTGTTTATATTATATATGTTAGGACTGTTAAACCACAACAAGGGTTCAAAGTGGGCAAACTGGATTAAAAAGTTTCAGAGACCAGAAACAAAACAAAAAAAAGAACGGTTCTGACAAACGACCGTCCAGGCAGACAAACTATACAAAGCACCGAGCTGAGGAGGATGCACAGTCAGCAGGGGGCCCCCGCCCGGTCGGGCGGTGCGGGCCGTCGCTCGGGGGACAAACAGCAGGTGGCGCTGCAGACCAGCTCTGCTGCTCTGGAGGATCACTGGTCTTTGTCGTGCATCTGCTGCTGCATCTTATTCAGCATCTCCTGCATCCTCTTCAGCTGCAGACAGAGAGGACGGCCCCTTAGAACCCGCGAAGAACAAGTCCAACACAGGACGGTCACCCAGGACTCGTGGATCCGTAGCTACTGCTGTAACTTCGGATTTTTGTTATCTAACTGTTCAGTTATTGTTTCTTTTAGTCAGGAAAAGTAATGGAATAATACGCATAGTTTGCTAGTGTTTCCAATTAAAATGGCTAGATACATTTTTATACTTTACTTTATTGTTGAATAATAAAGAAAAAAAAGGTTTACGCCACTCAATTTAAAATTAAAATTGAGTTAATTAGTGATCCTGAATTGTTTGTTCACCAACTGCTGTAACTAAAAAATCCTTCAAGGAAATAACTAACTTAGAAAACCAAGTTTAAGGAAGGTAAGACATTACGTGACACAACGTGTGTGGGACTATTAAATGACTTTAACTCGAGATGAACTGTTCTCTCGGTGACGATAGGACTTCATCAGTTACCTTCGCCTCCAGGACGCGTACAAAACATACCTCTTCATCTTTCATCTTGATCAGTTTCTCGGTCTCAACATCTGGAGTGGACAGCGGTAGGATGGGGACGGGACTGTCCACGCGGTTGTCCTGAGCCAGTTTGCTAAGAAGGAGGCAGGAGGTGGGAGGAGGAGGAGGAGGAGGAGGAGAGGAGAAGCACACGTTTCTGCACTGAGATCTGAAACCAGCAGGTGTTTCCCAAACTCTCTCTCACGTGTTCACACACCTCGTCATCTCCTGGATGCACTGCGCTCTGTAGTTCTCGTAGTGGACGTCGCAGGTCACGTCCTTGAGGTCGTGCATGTGCGAGCGAATCAGCATGTTCCTCAATTTGACAAAGTCACAGTGCGACTGGTTCTCCACTGAGGAAAAGCGCCCGTTAGAAAAAAACGGAATGAATGAATAATCCCACGCGGGCGACGTTTAAAGCGCAGACGTACCTTCAACGATTCCCCAGGGGTACAGTCGCCCTCTCACCCGCTGCCCCCGGGCCTCCACCACCGTGTTACTGCCGATCACAGCAAACGGGGTACACTCCTGCACACGAGAGACACGAGGCGGGCTTGTTGTTGGGTTTATTGTGTTGTTTAGTATATAAGCTCGTCGTGTCGCACTTTTAAGATCCCAAATTATATTATCTGGATTCCCACAAGAAGGAAATCACATCATTTCACCCTTTATTTGAACTTTGGGCAGAAGTGAGTTGTCACAGTTACATCAGACTCACCTTGAGCTCTTTGTCCAGCTGTTTAAACTCTTCATCCTCATCAGAGTCACATTCAGGGAACTGGTACACTTTGATCCCGAACTTGTCTATTTCCTCTCGTATCTGGAGGAGAATCAGACGACAGGTTACAGCGACCAACCTGCAGGCGGTGAACTGCGTAGCGATTCTAGCGGGACTCACTCTGTCTTTGAGCTTTTTGATCTCGTTGGGCGTGAGGCAGTCGGCCTTTGCGATCAGAGGGATTATGTTCACCTTTTCGTGCAAAGCCTTCATGAACTCCACGTCCACGGGACGTAGTCTGTGCAGGAGGAGAAGACAGAGTGAAAGGGAAGCGCAGGGAGAGTGAAGTCCTCCAGAACAGTTTTAAGAGTTTGAATGGACGAAGCTGAAAGGAGCCGTGGAAGCGTGAGGTGACATCACTGAGTGGGCGTGGCAAGAAAAGCATCACCAGCCATGAGGAAGTTTAGAGAGCAAAAGTTAGACTTGAGTAGTGCTCTCAGTTCCCTCATTAAACAAACAGAAATGGTGTGAGCAATATTATGTAAATAATGTCTCAATATGTAAAGAAGACCCCTACAGTGGGAAATAATAACACATCATACAGAGCACTGCAAAAGTACTACATCCCAAAGAGATTTGTTTTTTTAAACTGGTGTGGCCATGTGTATGAACGCATTAAATAAAACATGGTTCTACCCTTTACCTTCAGACAGAGTGCATTTAACCAAATATTAATCATTATCATCTTTACATTTATTTGTTTTTTCCCATGTACATTTTTCTTAAGAGAGATCGGAGAACAACTGCAGCACGTGTCTAAACACATCTGAATAAACCCCTGTGTGTGTGTGTGTGTGTGTGTGTGTGTGTGTGTGTGTGTGTGTGTGTGTGTGTGTGTGTGTGTGTGTGTGTGTGCGTGTTATTACCCGTGCCCAAATGGAGGGATGAAGTACAGGCAGCAGTGGACCCGGTTGTCCTGGATGTTCTTCCTGTTCAGTCCGCTCTCGTCCCTGAAGTACTGCTCAAACTGCTGATCTATGTAGTCTGTGATTGGCTTCCAGCTAGGACACACACACACACACACACACACAGCACACGACACATTAGCAGCTCCTGCGGGCGCTGTGTGTTCCGAGGAGCAGGTGGTGCACGTCGGTCTCCCAGCTCACCATTCGTTGTTGTTGACGGCGTCTCCGAAGCCCGGAGTGTCCACGATGGTCAGCTTGAGCTTGACCCCTTTCTCCTCGATGTCCACAGTGTGTTTGATGATCTCTACGGTTTGGTGGATGCGCTCTGCGCAGCATCGACATAGAAGGGCAGACGGTGATGGGGGGGGATCACAAGGTGAGGCGGCAGAAAGATGATGGTGGCATGAAGGGGATCGTAAATGGTGCAGAATGAGCCCTGATGGAGTCATGTGGGGCTTTGATTGTCTTTCTGTGCCTAAAATATTTCATTTCCTAAATGTCACACGATACATGATAAGCGTTGTGTAGCATCTTGAGCTCTACGACTTAGAGTAAAATAATTTGTCTTTAAGCTACACAGACAACAGGTCACTTATTAGGAAGGTCAAAGTTCAAAGTCTGCAGCAGTTTACAAATTAAACTCTGTGACGTCGCTCAATGTAAAGAGACAAATAAAGACCACGGCAGCTTTCACTGCGAGCGATAAATAAAGACTCACCCTCTGCATTCAGTAACTTCCTGTCCTTGTAGAGGTCTGTGAGGAACAGGCTGTTGACCAGAGTGGATTTGCCCATACCGGACTCTCCTGCACAGACCAGCACCAGGTCAGAACGTACAAACTGGCTCATTGGGATCATTAGAGCAGGTGCGCCAGTCCTCCCAGATGTCTGTGGATAAAAAAAAACTCACCTGCCACCATCAGCGTGAAGTCGAAGCCTTTCTTCACCGACTTTCTGTGCACCTGGTTGGGTAGAGTCGCAAAACCCACATATTGCTTCTCCTGGGACAGAAAAGGAAACGACACAGGAGACAACATTAAGTTTATATGTTTGCTTTGGGAAAGAAAGTGTCGATAACGTTGGGCTACAAATAATAGTTTTTATTAAAAATGTTTCAGGCTGAGACCGTCCTGTCGCTTGACAGATAACTAATTAAATAATTTATTATTATTATTATGAAATACTCTACATTATTATAACATGCATCATTCTGAAATGGACCACTGTGCAAAATGTGCACTTTTACTTTGGCAACTCTATGTTTGTTAGGGCAGCTAACGCTGTTTAAGAAGTCAGAACCTCCCACCCATCAGACTGAAATACATCACCACATTTGGAAAAACTACAACGAGAGACTATTTGTGATAATTTTTGCTTGAGCTAATTATTATTAGTTAATTCTTAAACATGAGGAGCCGGCCCCTTTACAGAATAACAGAGTGCTGTGGAGGGTTTCTGATGTGGATGCGAAACGTTTCAGGCGTCGTGTGGTGCAATAAAAACAAAAAAACGACCACAACAGACAGGCGGGGTCTTTAACATAGAAAATATACAACTGTGCGGAAAAAAAAACACGCGTGCAGCTTTGCTCTCAGCCAGCAGCTGAGAATAAACCACGACTTTCCACAGAAACGCACAAAGAGAGCCAGGGGACACCGGGTTACACCAGGGGACACCAGGGGACACCAGGGGACACCAGGCGCCCGCCGGCGACGCACAGTGGCTCCAAAGTCCCGCAGGTTTTCTCTGCTGCATCTGGCAGGGCGTCATCTCGTAGATATGAATACCCGCAGAGACAGAAGCGACATTCAGAAGAGCTGAAAAGCTCTTTCTCTGCCTCCGCAAACACGCCAGCCAAACAAACAGTCAGAGTCCTCATGAGCTGTCATAACTTGTCACGGCCCTTTCCGACAACCCCCCCCCCCTCGGGCGAGGACTGCCTTTGCTAAAACACACACAAACACACTAACAAAAGCACAGGCGGTGCAATGAGTGCAAGTGAGAATGAGGAAATCAGTGGGAATGAGACAAATGGTCTCCGCAGGTTTCAGAGAGGTCAAAGGATGCAGGAGGTGGGTTCACAGGTGCTGAGGGAATCCTGGACCCCGTCTCGGCTTGTGTGTCCATTCTTTTTTTTTTTTTTTTAAATCTATTTCAAGTCCAACTTGTTTTTGTACCTTCTGCCTGGCTGTTCTCACTCGCGGGCACAGCAGCCGTTCCACCAGTTTTTCCTGCAGCATGATGGCATCCATCCCAAACCGCGCCGACACGGACGGACAAAAATAGCCTCAAGAGTCTCAGGAGATTGAAAAACAGCCCAGCGGGGAAAAAGAAAGACTCGTTTCTCGCTCTGTGTCCGCTTCCCAAAATTGTCTCTTACACACCGCGTTCCTCTTTGTGCGCTATGAATATGTCCCCTCCTGCTTTCCCCTCTCTTGATTCCCCTTTCTTTTCTGTTCGCTTGTCTCCGTCCTCTGCCCCGCAGCGGTCCTCTGTTCAGACAGGTATGGAGGAATTCTCGCAGAGAGAGAGAGAGAGAGAGAGAGAGAGAGAGAGAGAGAGAGAGAGAGAGGCAGTTTGAGGGAGGAAACAAGGGAGGGATGGAAGAAGCAGGCGTCTAAAAGAAACTCATTCATTCAGTTCCTATTCCCTCCCCCCCTCAGCGCCAACAAAATAAAACTCTATATGCTGAGAGAAATCGCCTGTGACGAAATGCAGGAAGAGAAGAGACAAGAACGTTTCAGATGCAAGAAAGTAACTTGCATGAACTTGACAGTGACAAAAGCTGCAGAACAAACAACCGGGTTACGCTGCGAGCACAGACGAGTGTTTATCAGGTCATTAGCCTGTGTGTGTGTGTGTGTGTGTGTGTGTGTGTGTGTGTGTGTGTTTGCTGAACAGAGGCTGCTCAGCATCATAGACCAGTGATTTTTAAAATATTTAGTTTTATGTACCATTAAAGATGGTTTGGCTAGGAGAGTTTACTTACGTCAAACAAAACCATGTGAAAATACTCCATTTAAATAAGAATCCTACTTCAGTCAAACTACAGAATTATTTTGACAGCAACATGCACTTAGAAGAGAAAGTACTCCTGGGGCAGATAAATGTCCCCTGGGACGGACATATCAGTACATGGATGAATTGCTAATGCTGATTGAGCACTTTTGTGTTGTCAGGTCCCTCCAAAGGAGAAAACAATGGTTGTTAATGAAACACACAAAGAAGCTTTGAGCTGAAACCTTTTCTCTTCTCTTTGCATGAACTTTTTGTAGCTCCTAAATATATTGATATTAGTTAACGCATGTCAAAATAGACGAGTAAACCGATCAATCAATTAGTTGTGATGCGTCTTTAAAACTCCTACAGCAGGTATCCATGATGCCTTCATTTTTAGCTAAAAAACATTGTGGAAGCTCTGGTCTAGACTGTAATGAAAAGGATGTAAAGGAGATCAGTCTGTCTGTGTGTGTCTGTGTGTGTCTGTGTGTGTATGTGTGTGTCTGTGTGTGTGTGTGTCTGTGTGTAGCGGTAAACGAGGTACATTTCATTGCAGAGGTTGCAGCCGATTGCTTCCAGATGTGACGGTGGTGTGTGTGTGTGTGTGTGTGTGTGTGTGTGTGTGTGTGTGTGTGTGTGTGTGTGTGTGTGTGTCTGGCTCATACATGATGTTGGCCGCAGAGCTTAAATGCCCTTTTGAAATAAAAGCCCTTTTTTTCTCTCTCCCTCTTCTTTTCTCCCCCTCGCTGTGGGCACTCCCCACGGCGATGCCACGTGCAGTGTGTGACTCTCCCACTCCGCGCCACCAGAGGGCGCCAGAGCCATCAGGCCAGATAAAGAAACAACGGTGCTGGTGCTGATGTAAACGTCAATGAAGAGTTCAACTCTTTGTAGGCATAAACGAGTGTGATGGTGTGTTTCGGGGGGAGGTCTGTCTGAATAGAAGAAAAGAACAGATGCCATGGAATCAATGACAATAGCTCCCCCGGCTAAACCCTCCACCCTCCACCCTCCACTTTCAGTCTCTCAGCGGCCAGCTGTCCCTTCCACTCAGACACCACCAGACAGAAGAAGTAGAAATAACCTCCAGTCACACCGTCTTTGATCCACAGAACTTCAATGTTCAAATAAACATCTCCTGCTACTAAGTGAAGCCAAAACAAATGTCTTGAAGGATCTTTTTCATTCACAGACCTTTAATATAATGTTGCTGCTGCTCGCTCTCAGGTAAACACACGCACGTAAACTGTAGATAGAAATGAGTAGTGACAGGTGTGGCTCTTTTTTCTTTTCTATTGTGTTTTATTGTCTAAAAGTATCTGATTAACTAGACTAATTATTGGCAGAACAGCAAAAAAAAGATGACATCAACAGATCCGCAGTCATCCAATTAGCGCTGCTTAATATCATAAAATAAATAAAAGGACCAAGCAATTCCAATATTTCGGGGACCTTTCCATCCTACACGAAGAATGGACCCATTTCCATTTTACTTCATCATCTCCTCCATCTTGTGAAACAGGAAAACAAAATACACACAAAATTCTCCTCAGTCAAACAGCTGGATCCAGACCGTACGAAGAAAAAGACTCGTTATTGATGCTTTAGTGACTCAGTGGTCAAAGGTCCGATTAGTCAGAAAGTCCTTCTCCGGGTTCTTCCAGCTGATCACACAAGGTTAACAGCATGTCGAGTGTCGTTAAGGACAAATCATTAGGACTAATGACAGCAAGCAAGGAAGCAAGGCAGCAGGCAGCGAGGGAGCAGCGGTCACATGACCGGATATCTCTTCAGTTTGTGGTTTGTTCACATTGTATAGCATAGCATAGCATAGCATCTATTCTCTCTCTGTCTTTTCTCCTTGCCACCAATGTCGATTGTTTAGTCTCATTAACCGTTTTGTTTTCAATTTGAATTTTCAATTATACGACAAATAAAATGCTTCAAAGCCTACAAATCAGAAAGAATTTGACAATTTATTATCTGTAACAGATTTTCACTTTTGCGGTGGATCAACTTTCTGTCCTTTAACTTAACAAATACAGTAATTGTCTGGATGCATCTGCAATGTTTTCAAAAGTGACTTTTTAAATGAATCACTAGTTTAAACAACGTCTTAAGTCTGCACTAAGCGTCCCTCGTTTGGACAGCGTCTTGTTTGAGAAGATGTTTTTTTGCTCCTCAGAACAAGAAGAGACCTCTTGGGGGTCAGAGGACTCTCTCAGTGTCTGAATGCCCGACGCCTCAGCGTGTCCCTTCATTTGTCTTTGCCCGTCAACATGTTGGACCGTCCCGATCTCACGGGCAGAGACCCAGAGATCGGCCGCTCAGCTTCCTGCTCTCAGTCAAACAGAGTTGTGGCCTTAAAGGAAACGGCTCTCAAGTGGCACCAGCAGTCCACTACACTGCCCCCCCCCCCTTCATACACACACACAAATATAAAACCTAATCCAAATGAACCGGGCCCAACAGAGCACCCGGAAGACTACAGTCATGAAAAGACGTTATGTAACATTACAGTTCAAACTGGAGGATCACTTCAAATTCAGCCACTTGATGACAGGACAACGTGTGTGCGTATCCATGGTGACGTGTCCTTTTCTGTCGGGGCCCGTGTGTCACTGCATGTCTTAAAGCTTCAAAAGCAGCTGTTTTGGAAACCGCGTCAATTTACAACCTACAAACTAACTGTTTAGACATCATGGCATCTGCCAGCAACCCCAATACAGACTGTTCAGATTGAGGTTTTTCTTAAAGGGGAACTCCGAAAAGCAGAGTTGCATTGTTGGTAATGTAGGTGCCAGGGTTCTTCTAAGAAAAGGTGTTATGTTAAAAGATTAAAAGATTTTTTCTATTTTCCATGTTATAGCGTGACAATGAGCTGTGTGAAAGAGGATCACTGGTGGTCCAAAAAGTGAAACACTGTGAAAAATCCACTTTTTTATCGAGAAACAGTCTCAAAATTGAGCCGCTTCTGTGGAATTGCGGCCAATAACTGGGCATGAAACGGTCCAATGTGTTCGCGGCTTAAAATCTGCCAAATGGCCTGTGATGAGGCAGTGAAGAGCGCTGACCTTTGCTGGTGACTTCTCTGCATCTCCCAGGCGTCCAGCTGACACTCTCACACCATTAACCCCGGTGGCTCCGGCCTGATTTGGGTGTTTTTTTTCCCACCAGCAAGCGAGGCGGGAGGAAGTAAGAGGGGGAGATAGGGGGAGACAGGAGCGGGGTGGCTTTGCATCTCCTTGGAGATTGAACATGCTAATGCAACAGCGTGTAATTGCTGAGGCAACAATGTAAACGCTTCACTGAAGGAAGCCGAGTCTCAGCCCAGTTTCAGCGTCTTTTTCAATGACGGCGATCACTTGGTTTAGTAAACATGTTTCCCTGAGTATTTAGCACAAGGACCCAGACGGCTAAATGTTTTCATGAAAGAATCCTTCCCCCAGTAGGTTGGAAGCTGTGTAAAAGAAGAAATGGAGGACACAACTTAATAAGATGTATTGATACAACTAACAAGTACTCCCTGTATGTTCATGTATCTGAGCCATCAAACGTGTATCAATGGAAATAGTTCCCAACAAAGGCAAAATTTATTCCCAGTTTGGTAACATTTGCTAAAAACAACTGTTTTAGGAAGTAAAACTAGTTTGGTGATCTGCTGTGTCTTCTTTGTGCATCTAAAACACTACCAAACGCACCCAGGTTGTGTAAATATTGAGCGTAACGTTGCATATATAAATTCCATTAAAACCGAGAAACTCAACATGTAGTTGAAGACCATGTGATTACGGTCAAAAGCTCAAGAGCAACCTCGTGCTTCAATGGGAATTCAACTGTTTTTCATTCCTAGTCCCGCAGTAAGCGGTGTGATTGATTAAAGTGTAATTCTCATTTTGTGCAGTTAATTACAGAGAACGTTATAAGAATTCTCTCCATTCCTTTCATTGGATTACTGCTCAGACTCCTGATCCCCATTTCCAAAGAATTTGTAATCCCAAACTTCATGGCCCAACAAAATACTTGAAAAGATTTTTCCAAAGAAAAATCTCTTATCTGGGTCAACACACTGCAGCTTTACGAACATAAATAAATAAATAGATACAGAGGTGAGCTGCTTCAGGTACAGCACACAACACACACACACACACACACACACACACACTCGCTCTACCGTGCACATGTTTGCTTCAGCACCAGACGGAAGAACGTGGTTGTGAAGAATCTCCTCAAACACCAGCAAGCGCAAGGCCAAAAATGAAAAGACACACCAAGGAAAAGGTGTAGGCGGGAGCCCACACAAGTGAAGGGCTTTGTCCCACGGGACTCTCCTCTGCACCGCGTTGTAACCCACTGAACGTAGCTTCCATGTGTGCATAATCGAAAAGAACTCAAGGAAAATGTCAATACGTTGAAGACATCTTGGGGTTCAATATTTGACTATGTAAACATCCTGTACCCAATAAAAAAATCAGTGGAGCAGCCACTCTGCTTCTACTCAGAC